ATGTCTGAAAATTGTTGGACATGATAAAATAAGTTGTCTACATGTGCAAAAAATGTATATCAGACAAAATAAGTGTAGCGCCTTCTCTATCAGACAACTTTTCGATACTCAGATATTTTTGACACAGCAGAAATGGCCTCCCACGCAGTTGCTACACTTTCGACCGTTACTACGATTTTTATAGGGTTTTTGCCGTATTGCTATGAGACATGGTTTTGGTCGTCATCTCTCGTACTAATAGCGATTGTAAAACTTACACAATTCACAGTATAATTTTAATGAAAGTCTCATTCTGCCAGTGTAATATCACTGTGTATTGTAAAATGAAGCAATATGAAACCGACATCATTAGTGCATACAACGGCACAGTCGACATCGTACAATGTGTAGTGCAGTAATAACAAACATCTAGGCAAACCTCGCAGTATGTATTAAACAAGCTAATAATGTAACGGTATTCTTGTGATTCTTATAGTGAAAAGTCGAGACAACTAATACTAATAATAAATTTAAAATGGAGAGATGTTAGTAATTGTAGTACGAAGCCTGAGATTGATGCGTTCACAAAATCTGGTAGCTAATGACTTTTACTCTTAATACACCTCTGTAGCAAAATTAATTTTGGCCACCAAATTTTTTTTTTTATTTAAACACTACAAAACACACTATGATTATCTCCTGTGTCGTGGGTGCTTTTACAAACATACAAGTTCACATAAACATGACACCCAGACCCGAAACAACAATTTGTGGATCACACAAAGTGCTGTTCCGTGCGGGAATCGAACCCGCGACACGTTGCACGCCAGCAGGTTGCCCAGCCACAGCACCAACCGTGCAGTCGAAAATTATTAATGGGTATTTTGTAGAGCCTTTAATACACTTGCACGCCATTGAAATTAGCTCGAACTGCTATTACAAATGTCAAAATACGTGAGTCTGTGTATATGTTTATTACTCAGTCATATCAAAACGGCTGAAAGGATCGACATGAAATTTGGAACAGAGCTGCAGAGGTAGATTATGGCCTGGAGTAATACAAAAGCTACTTTTTACCGCCGGTCACGCGGCCGAAGCCGCTGGCAGAAGCTAGTTTACAATATTTTAAGTCTACTCCCATCGTTACCTTGTCTATTTAATACTTACTTGACAAGAGTACTCTCAGCGAAGCGCCTTCCGGACACCTCTCCCGCTCTGTACATTAGCTCAGCGTAGCTTTTTCCAGCACAGTCCAGCTAAATGCAGTGACCTGTTTACTCCGCATTGGACGGCAACTCAAGTTCTACCTCCCTTTTAAGGATATAACGTTTTTTAAGTAAAAGCCCTCACGTACCGGCCTGATTGAGTTTGTAGCCCGTGTTCGTTATGAGATGGAAGTGCTTTTTTAATCAGTTTATGCCTTGGAAATATTTTTACTGCGTTTTTGCCGGCGTGTAATTATTACAGTTTTTTGACATCAGCATACTTATACAGGGTGATTTGTAATTGGACCACAATCTCGTATGGGGTAATAGACTGTTCTATTGATCGGCAATTGATCTGTATCAATTCCATGGATAACAAATGGATAGGCGGAAATGAACGATTATTAAAATATTTAACTTTTAGTGTTAATTTCAAAATGACGCCCGCGGTAACTCTAAAATGAAAAAACAAAAAAGAAACGCGTTTGACCTAATTAACTTTTCTTGATTATCTTATTTAAGTAGTTTATTTACCAGTTCTAATCAATAAATACACAATAATAATAATTATTTTAGACACAGTGCTTCATAGACTATTGGATTTTTTCAAGTTTTAAGAAATATGCTATTATAACATAAAAATTTATTATAACGAATGTTTGTGCACTTATTGTAATAAGTTTATTATGTATATAAACTTAAGAAATTGTTTACAAACAACATCCACATTTCTTAAGTTTTTAAACAACTTCAGCATACCTGGACCAATGCTAAAGACATTAGACAAACAATGGTCTGAGGTAGTAAAATAATTATGTTCATCTTAGGTACAAGTTTACATTTAAAATCTTACAACTTTTACCCAAATATATATCAATTAGCATTTTTTTTATGGCATAAGCCGGTAAACGAGCAGACGGATCACCTGATGGTAAGCAATCGGCGTCGCCCATGGTCACCTCGAACACCAGGCTTTACAAGTGCGTTACCGGCTTTTTGGGAATTAGGAGTTTGGGGAGATTGGGGAAGGGGAGGGTAATTGGGCCTCCGGTAACCTCACTCACACGACGAAACACAACGCAAGCGTTGCTTCACTTCGGTTTTCTGTGAGGCCGTGGTATCACTCCGGTCGAGCCGACCCATTCGTGCCGAAGCATAGCTCTCCCACACTTAAATCTATACTAATATTATAAAGAGGAAAGATTTGTATTTTTGTATATTTGTAATGAATAAACTCAAAAACTACTGAACCGATTGCAATAATTTTTTCACCATTAGAAAGCTGCATTATTCAGAAGTAACATAGGCTATATAATATCACGCTAGGTCCTATAGTTGTGGAGCAGTAACCAAAAATGTTTTAAAAACGGGGGAAAAGTATCGTTTCTGAGGCCTTTCATAAAAATTTATTATAACGAATGTTTGTGCACTTATTGTAATAAGTTTATTATGTATATAAACTTAAGAAATTGTTTACAAACAACATCCACATTTCTTAAGTTTTTAAACAACTTCAGCATACCTGGACCAATGCTAAAGACATTAGACAAACAATGGTCTGAGGTAGTAAAATAATTATGTTCATCTTAGGTACAAGTTTACATTTAAAATCTTACAACTTTTACCCAAATATATATCAATTAGCATTTTTTTTATGGCATAAGCCGGTAAACGAGCAGACGGATCACCTGATGGTAAGCAATCGGCGTCGCCCATGGTCACCTCGAACACCAGGCTTTACAAGTGCGTTACCGGCTTTTTGGGAATTAGGAGTTTGGGGAGATTGGGGAAGGGGAGGGTAATTGGGCCTCCGGTAACCTCACTCACACGACGAAACACAACGCAAGCGTTGCTTCACTTCGGTTTTCTGTGAGGCCGTGGTATCACTCCGGTCGAGCCGACCCATTCGTGCCGAAGCATAGCTCTCCCACACTTAAATCTATACTAATATTATAAAGAGGAAAGATTTGTATTTTTGTATATTTGTAATGAATAAACTCAAAAACTACTGAACCGATTGCAATAATTTTTTCACCATTAGAAAGCTGCATTATTCAGAAGTAACATAGGCTATATAATATCACGCTAGGTCCTATAGTTGTGGAGCAGTAACCAAAAATGTTTTAAAAACGGGGGAAAAGTATCGTTTCTGAGGTCTTCCGTGGCGTGCGCTGAGCATATAGTTAAAGTTATACAAAAATGCTTTATATGTTCATCTTTTAGGGAACAGAGAGTATAGTTCCCTAAGATCGGAAAAGGAGGATCCTCCGACCAGGCGAGGTGATCGTGCCTGGCGGGCTTTCTGCCCAACAGTTGCTCGTTGGGATTTTCTATCCGTGTTAAATCGAATGTAAACTTCGCATGTGCGATGTAGGATTTTTATGACGTCATCCGTTGACTTGTGACATGTGTCGCCACAATCTTAACATTATTTTTAAAAAAGTCCGCGAGAGCATATGTCTACCTTTTATAGTTTACCCATAACAATCGTTTTAATGAATGGTTCAATCCTTATAAAAGTTTGCTCTAGATAACTTTTGAATTGTTCAATCGGTTACCTTAAGACTATTAATTCATCCAAAAGATACCTATTAGGTAAGTACTTACCTACTATTTCAAAAATACATAAAAAAGGCGCGGGGCGGCGCGCGGCGTGAAGTGAAATAGGTAAGTTCCTATTTAAGAAAAAAATAATTAATTAAATAAATGAAATAAGTAAATGAAGTCCGGAAAAATATTTTCAAAAGGTTAATACTTCCTAAATAAAAAAAAACTGAGAATAAATATAAATAAAACGTAAAACTATGTAAAAAATCTTAAGTCCCCCCGTGCGAAGCCGGGACAGGCCGCTAGTATTTTACATGTTGAAATTTCATGTATAGAACATCATTTGTAAATCTATTGCCCGTTTTCGCGTTTTTTATGTTTTGAAACATACCTATACTAAAGTTTTACTGCCTCATTGGCCGAGTGGTCGCAACTGCGACTGCTGGGCAAGGGCTCGATCGAACTCGATCGGGTTCAATTCCCGGGCAAAGTATTACTGGGTTTTAAAAAATCTCAGTAGTAGCACGGAGTCTGGAATTGTGCCCGGTGTATGGCAATAGGCTCACCCCCTATTACATGGGACTCATAACATAAATAGTGGAAAGTAGGTGTTACATTTAAACTGTCAAACACCAAGCGGTCACCGGTGACCGCAACCTATTGTTCTATAATTGTGTCTACAAAACCGGTACTCGACGAGTTAACAGTGGCATTAAGTGCCGTAATGTGCACCTCTGCCTCCCTCTTCGGGGATAAAAGGCGTGATATTATGTATGTATGTACTAAAGTTTTACTTTATATAGTACCTAAAATGTGACGTGACGACGATGGCGTATTGGTTAGAACCAACTGATGCTCTTGTACCTGCCGCTGCGCAACATTACTTCTGTTTGTGTTCCTCTATCAGACGCGTCGTCTTATCTCTGGCCCAAACGTTGCGCGTATCGTATAAGTAAACTAATTACCATTCAACGTTTATTCTTGTTTACTATTCCACTATGTTAAGCGTTCGGATTCAACAGCCCGTTTATTGTATCAAACTATTAGCTTCGCACGAATTGCTCTCTTCCGACTCGCAGTTTGCGGCATACTCATGTCGATTAAGTTATAGAGGTCCTCACTAGTGACGTGCAAACACTACAGACAATACTTAAATCTACAACATAAGTCGATAACTAGAATTTATAGGAATTAAAATGACATGGATACGTACTTATATTTTTCTTTATTAAATATTTCAATTTTTAATCACATTTTTTAAACTAAGTACAGGAATATATTATTATTATATTAATTAAAAATAAATCTCAAAATAACAACATAGTTTGGCAAATAGGTAATGTTTTTCAAATGTTAAATTTTCTTTTAAAACCAACAACATTTAGTATTTCGAGATCTAAATAAATATACAATTTGCTATTTTGAACTAAGTTAAAGAGATCAAAACTTGAATCAGGTAACGATAATAATATAACTAATTTGGTACAGTGGGATTAAATAGTAACGATAGAAAAATAGCATTGATTTGGACGAAACACGAGTATAATAATTTTACTAGGGGCGAAATAAATTAGATAAGCCGAAATCCCACGAATATCACCATCCCATCCCTATACCACGAATAAAGTGCTTATATAAAAATGTAAATGACGTAGGTAGCGGTTACCGGGCACGTCAAGCAGTGCTGAGTAGTAGCGGTGTGGTGGATTGAGCTAGCAATGCTGACGCGTTCGTTATCAGCATTCATTAGGGGTAAATGTTCCGTAACTGGCAAACTGTGCGCTGCGCCAAACTCTGCTAATGGGAATATATTTTGCTATATACGCGGATTTATTTGCGTGTATTTCATGATTTATTGACTCTATTTCCAGGTCCCGGTTGCCCCGGACTAAATATCTCTGTTAATGAATGGAATAAAATATAGCAGATTAGAGCATAATAAAATGGACGACGTGGTTTATGATCTTATTATATGAATTAGATTTTGGATTTACACTTATCGTTAACATACATTTATTTTCTGTGTCCTTTTCATGTACTGTCTAGCTAGGTAACTTTTTCGTTCGTCAGTAATTATATGCACCAAAATCTACACGCATGGCTGAATGGCAATTTATGAATGCGTTGCTTTAAGTACGCTGAAACATGTTATTAAACCCTTCTTGTGTGATGCGAAGCATAGGTTTATTTGCCTATAAAGTAGTCAGTTGAAATATTGCACACGAAGGAAATATTGCTAATCAGAGCACCGCTGTGCTGCACCTTGCCGGTACAAATAATGTTACGGAACATTTTGCTAATGTTACTACCAATACTCAGCATTTATAGTAAACAATAGTAATAAGCAATACTAAATTTAAATATCAGAAACCTTCTTTGTAAATAGATACATCACCTCAATAGATATGTTCCATAAAAATACACCTTTCTCTGTTATCACAGCCCTTAATTTAGCAAGTTATATTTTAGTACCATTAAATAACAAAATTTAAACTATAAATCAGATACAACTATAGACTTCGTAAGTACTTAATAAGTGCAGGACCGCGACTCTGACGTCGGTGCGAGGGCATAGCAGCCTCTGCCCGCATCTCGCGCTACGGCCCCGAAGATTAACAAAATTATATTATCTAACCGAATAAAGAAAAATATCAAAGGTAACATCGCATATTTTGAGCTTGGCTCTTTTTAACTACTTTTGCTACAATTTTGTTATTATAAATATTAAAACGTTTCCAAAAAGTCTTACTGTACTTAATGTTCCAACTCGTGGGTACAAAACGCCTTAAATCTTGGTGTGGTTAACAGTTTTAGAATACGAATGTGTGTTGTTGAGCAACCGTGTCCAACATATTCATAATATTGATTGCAAGAGTGGGCTTGTAGTATACACAGGTTGGATTCACATAATATATCATACATTAATATTGAGGCTCTCTCGGGGGCGAACTTGACCTTTTTACTTACAACTAGTTTTAGTTTTATCGTACTAAAATACGTTTCATCATGACAACTGACACATAAAGTGGTAGAACTGATCAAAGTTCACGGGCTCCAAGCCACATTCGTGATCTGACTTGTCGAGCAGTTCTGGATTCCTCTTGAGAAAATTCCTTACCCAGTCTTCGCCTGCCATTCTAGTGTTGGCGTCGAATGGATGATTCAGATTGTTGTCTTCTGCATATTGATACGCTAATTCCCGAATGTCCCTCCTGGAGACACCCATGAAATACTTTTCCATACTCTTGATGTATCCGACCAAGTCTTTTTCTTGACTATCCGTGAAGACTCTTCGGTAATGACCCATTAAAGGCTTGGGATCATCTGGCTGCTGGTACCTTATCTTGCTGGCGCGTCTTTGCAGCGTGGAGCGAGGTATGTGAAATGTCCTGGCAGCCAGTTTGTATCCCATCTTACCTGACACCACAGCGGCTACAGCCTTCGCCATGTCATCTTCATTCCAGGACTGGCGTCCGCTCATTCTTTCGTATCTTCTGACCATTGCACCCTGAAAAACGGATAAAATTGTATCAATAGACTTTCATAGATAACGAGTCGTTAACATGTGGATATCGCTAACTAGCAAGGAGAACAAGTTTTGACGCAAATTGTAGTCAAAACATTGATATATCAAAACATAACAAAATTTGGGCAACAAAGATGTTCAATGCAATGAATAATGTATGAGATAGAGACCTATTATTAGATCCTGAATTTCCAAATAATAGGTAATTACGTAGACAAATGTGTGAGAATCACAAAGGTAAGTAATTGTAATTAAATGTATGAGGTTTTATTTGGTAGTCGATGGTCGGACATGTTTGAACGTTCGGCGAAGGGTAACCACAGCCTTACCGGTTTTGTGGACCACGATCAATGCCAACTCGAGGTGAAAAAAATATGTCTAAAGACGTTCTAGAAGGTTACTTTGAATTCAAATTACCACTGAAATCTGGAGGTTGTCCGACCGATGCATGTTTGTAGTATGATTAACTAATGCAAATACCTACTCGCAATGCATCTTTAACTATTTATAATGATAAATAATTTGCTTAATTTGTGTGTATATTTGTTTCCTAAATTATTTATTTATATTTATTCTGTACTGTATGAGAACCTATTTACTGGTTACCAAGCGCGGCTCGGAAATCAGGCAGGACAAGTTTTTAAAGAAAAGTGGTTCACGAAACTTGGGCACTTTCAATTTCAAGATCACCTTTACTTTTAGTGTAGCTACAGTTACTCCGTTATATTTTTTTATGGAACAGTTTGTTAAGTGCGATATTATATGTAGACTTGGTGACTTAATAGCTATATGAGAATAGCGTTAATAGTACGCGTGATGTTTGGACGGTACCGAGTCCCTTGAAGCAAGTACCGACTCGACGTTACAATACAGTTCGTAATGTCGCAGAGCTGATAGCGCACAACATACGATAAAGTACGGAGTGTTTTTCCGATGCGATAACTCGGGAATATTGAGGCCCCAACGCGTGTTCCAACCGCAATGTCACTTAATTACCCATTACATTTCAACACGATGTCTAGATACTATATAATAATAATCTGAATCTCTTTATTTAATGCTTTTATTATTATAGTCATTTCAACGCCATTTGTGTTTCACATTGACAGTTCAAAAACGGGAAATACCTCTCGTCAGTGGTCGACCGTCCTTGAATGACCGCGTCATATTTTTTATCTGTCAAAAAAAGAAACACGTCGTCAGCAGTCAGCTGTTTGCGTTAGTTCCACAGCGCGTCTATCAACATGTTGCCGCACTGAGGTAATTAATACATTGCGTGTATATAATTATATACCGCTTCCACTGTCTGTTCCTTTACGGAGAATCTGTTTCTGCGCATGTAAAACCAGCAATGGAACGTAGCGCGCGACGATCGAACAAGATATTGCGATAGTACTGTAGGAAATCGTAGTAGCGGTGTGAGTACGGCGTGAGTCGAGGTTACTCTGACGCGTGACTTGCAAGGTCCCCGCTGCATTGCACGATGCGCCAAGGTTGACTCGCTTCTCTGTACCGATATAACCTAGGCCCTATTAATTACTAAGTACAATAAATACGAACTAGAAAATCTAGGTGATATGGTATGGGGTAGACGTCTAGTAGTTAATAGGTACTCTAAGGTAGGTGACCGAAGTGAAATCTGCATCGGATGTTATCGCGTTGCATCGTTGCAGTTAGACAATAGCTTTCAACACGTATGTAACATAAATATAATAGGGTCGGTGGTGAGTACTTACAAGTGAGTGTGCGGTTCAGGATCGCGTAGGCAGCCGGGAGGGGGGTCGGTGGAGGCGAGCAGGCGGTAGACGGCAGGCGGCAGCGGAGCGGCGGCTGGTGGCAGCTGACTCAGGCTCGTTAGGTGGCGTGCGAGCGGGCTGACGGCGCGCGCGACACTGGCGCGGGGCCCGTCTTGCCCCGCCGCCGGCCCTGGCGCGCTGACGTCACCTGGCCCAGGGCCCGACTGCGACGACTATTTTTGTCCGCAACTAATTATCTAGATCCTGCCTTTGTCCGGTCGTGTAACACTGACGAGGAAACCTGGTTTTATCTTTAAAACCAGTTATGTACATAGCTTGGAGCTAATTATTGAATACGTCACTCATGTCAATTGTACATTTATTTACTTGTCAGCCTACCGACCTGACGTAGTGTAATGTTAATACTGTGAGTCATTGTACTCGAAATTAAATAAATTACTTGAAGTAATTTACAATATAGCAAAATGATGTACTAATTATACCGGTGAGTGCAGCTCATTGTGAAATTAATGATAAAACAAAAATATGGAATAGCTAACGATAGACATTGTCTGCTAAAGACAGTAAATTGTGTACCATTTTATCACTACTCAATTCATAGTATGTAGTGAATAGTAAGTGTAAGCAATTAATTACACGCACCCACTATTGTATTGTGCTAAAAATGTGTTGGTTGTGTCTAATGTTGATTGTAGAAAAGAATACTATTCAGTTTAGGTATGTTTTTAGAATTCTACTCGAAGAGAGTGAAGTCATAAACGTCTGTTTTTCAGTCTTAATCTTTCCCTTTTAGAGTACATACGTTTGGAGCACTTACAGTTTTTTTTCGGTAGATATTTGACTAGTAGCCAAAACGCTAGCGTGTGTAACAAAGGAGAAATTCCCCGGAGATAAAACTGTGGCCAACATTTAATGAGTCATCTCGGTTTGTACCGAGTTGGAAGTGTCCCGGGAGCGGCTAAATAGGACAAACCAACTGCACGACATCGTCATAACTAAATACCAACTTTACATCCACTTTGCGTAATATAAACCAATAAACATATACATATGTACCTATTGTTTATCATTGTGGCTCTACATAGCACATCTGCTGTCTAGTTTCTAGCTATTTTTATAGTACCAAATGCAAGGCTGCATAGTTACTACGTTACATCTGTGCCGTCCGACGGATATCTCTCACAAATGATCTCAGATGTCCAATCGTTAGAAATGTTTACGAAACCCCTTCAGTTTGAGACGATAGCTACAGACGTAATAAAAACTGTAATAAATAGTCAATGTTCACGCAAGTGAGAGTCATTCAGTTTGCTGGATCATGCGAGGTTGCCATCTAAATCATACCAATGAAGTACATATAATACAAGTGGAGTGGTTTACACCAGACAGACTTTTACTTTACCGTAGCAATTGTTACCAATGTCAACACGTAGGTAAACGGAATGTCATGCGTGCAGCCTGTAATACTATCCACAAAGGCTCTTTAACAATAAAGGTTTATCGCCTTTGCAAAACGTCATGGATACCTAATTTTTTTTAAAGAAATTAATTATCTTTAAGAATTTGTAACAAAGTCTGATTGGTGGCAAATTACCTGCTACAGTATCCGAAAACAACAATAACAGTGAAATATTCGCGCAATAAACGCCTAGAAAGTTTCCTTCCGATATTTCATTTTACGATCATATTTTTATGTATCTTGTAATTATCCTGCCATTGTACTCAACCATAAATTACCATAATCTGTTTAAACGCCGAAGCATCAATAAATCTAGTTATTTATGCACAGAATGTCACGGTAACAATTTTACGTTAGTAATTTTTTATAGCCCGAACTGAAACAGTTTTACTAAGTATATATGTCAGCAGATTGGTACAATTATTTCATTTCGATGGAGTTTGAAACAATGAGACGAAACGAATTTATGTTTATTGTGAATTTTGATCGGCTCCGATATTACGATATGCAGTCTGTAACAATATAATATTAATTTAGAAGACACTGAAATGCTCAGAATAGTAACAAATTTTACATAATTTCCAATAATTATAAGGTGACTAGATTAAATTAATGTAATTTCGCTGAGGACTTACGTACGTACATAGGGACAGTTTATAGGGAATTTACCTAAGTAGGTATGTTATTTTTATAAGTCCGTACTCTCCCGTCTCTTTCCGTAAGTGTCTTCGTTCTAACGTCATCGTTACTAAATATTAAACTATCATTTCATATAGTTTCTATGTCCATAGCTTGTCAACGCATGTAACACATTATATTACATTACTAACACATACCTAATATTGGTTTACGTCACGTTTCGAACCCCGTTTTCCTTGTATGGGAAGGTTATTCCGGTAAATAGTTTGCATTTTTAGCAAAAGTATTGATATTTTGTAAATGATTCACGTACGATCATGTATATTTATGTTGGACCTGATAAATATCATAACACTCTTATTTTATAAATGTTATTCTTTCTATTGAATGTATACTCAGGTATTTATTAAGGACTACAACCACGAAGTTACTTTAATGGTCTACTTAATAATGACTTTCTCAATCTACTTAGGTACTTACAAAATGAATGCCGTAATCAGTCTGGAATGAAATCGGTTTGATAAAACTACTTTTTGACATTCGCATACTTATTTAAATAAACGTTATTAATTTATGTTGATTAATTTACTTATCATCAATTTGTATAGTATTAATCATACCTAATAAAAAGCTCATGGATCGACATAAGTAAAGAATAAATGTTTGCTGTAATTGCACATGTTACGTGTCGTCAACTCGTCAGTGTACAGTTGCCGTTTTAATTAATTGTTTGATTGCATCTGTTGCGAACATCAAGTCCACTCAGTCTATTTATATGGATACAGAGATGTGTATCTTAAATAATATAAGTTGGTATACCTACTACACGTGCAAGCTGTCTCTAAGAATAACCAAATCTTATTGACGTCACAAAAGGCAAGCAGATTGCACTAAATGCTTAGCAATATAACAGTCCTATGCTGACCCTTGTGTCTATATTTCATTGATAAGATCAAGACTGATAACAATTATAAAGTACACTTAACATACATATTTGTAGCAGCCAATGATAAATGATATAATCAAACATGCAGCTTAATTATTGTTTTTCCCCTAATCGATTGGAGCAATGCAGTCTGATATAATTTGAGTAGGTAATCGGAATCATCCTTCACAATAGAACAATCGTGCGTCCAATACCTTTGTAAGCGTTGATAGTGAATCTGCGTACGGACACGTTTTGGCGACTGTGTGCCAGATAAGATAAATATATCATTCGCATTTCTTTATAGCGTTGTTATTGTCTGAGCCGATATGACACGAGCACCGCAGGTAGTGATAAATAGTAAGTCTTACACACACATGCATACGATTCCTCGGATCATGTTTACTTGGATTCTCCGTAGACGGGTGAGGTCATTAAATGTACCTCATGATAAAGTGACTTACCTTTGCGGATGGGTAGTTTTTTGTTATTACATGTATATTACGAACCCATACATGTTATGTATAATTAATTAATACACGTTTTCAATTGGTACCTGCAGTTAAAGGTTGAAAGCAGTATGCACCAGGATGTTATATTAAAAAATTCGTACTTAATTACAAAAGTTACAAGTCTTCCATGTAAGTTAAGCTAAAATATGAAGACACTTTCATATGAGTGTCTTATTTTCCTAGGTGAAGGCTTATATGATGGGATAGTCGTAACTAGTTCCATGTAAAGACAGCAACAAGTACAAGTAGTAACAGGTTGGTAGCCCTCGGCATCCAACTTCCATAGCGTGGGAAGAATACAGCTGGTGTCGACTGAGAAAAACAATCACTTTCCTTTGACAGACCAACGCCATTGTGGAAATCGTGACATGCAATGCAGTGTGAAATAAAATATATTTATTTTAGTAGCTAACAAGTTTATCTTAATGTTTGCAAACTGTTGTACCCCAAGCCGTTGTTTTGACCATTTTTTGTATGTATTACCTATGATTGGATTAATATTATCTAATGATAAACAAATGTTTTTATCAAAAAGACGTCAGCGCGCTTCCCTAAAAGTATGTCGACTTTAATAATAAATCAATGATAAGACAAATCAATATTGCTGAACAATGACTAATTATTTTGTATTATTCTGCCTAAATCTTATATCATCTGTTACTCCTAACTAGTTTACATTATTTCTTTATACGCAACTAAGTACAGATAAATGGTTTTCCTTGTCTTGGTAGTTTGGCACCAACATTGCAAACTATGTATAGTTTTCTGCGCAACTTTCCCAAAGCAAAAGTTACGACGTAACAAATTCTCCCATTTGATGAACCCACTGCTGATCCGGCTAAATCCAATTTTCCAATTTACTACCATGTAGAGCCGCAATTTGGATTCCTTGTAACTTTTTAGGGTTTACTAAGAAACATAGTTTGGTCAGTAGATTGAGTTTCCGATACGGATTAGTTTGGGATATTTGTATGTGTTACTTAAGTAAATATTGTTTGCTAATGGAGTTATTAGTTTTACGTACCTTTAATGTGGCGGCGACGTATCGATATTCCCCAATGTTTTCGAGGAAATATCTAACGGCTGGAAAAGTATCAAAGTTTTGGAAGATACCAACTTTCTTTTTTTTTACAATTTTACAGATTAATTCTCCACGGACTCTTGGTCCGTGCTCTTGTCATACAATAAGATAGCAACTTAATAAACACAACATCACGCCTTTTATCCCCGCAGGGTGAAAGGTGCACATTACGGCACTTAATGCCACTGTGCAATGTAACACCTACTTTTCGAGTCCCATGTAATTGGGGGTGAGCCTATTGCCATATCCTATTGGGCACAATTCCAGACTCCGTGCCACTGCTGAGATATTTTTTTAAAAATCGCGGGTTTCGAACTCGACCCCGCTTGTCCCGGTAATAAAATTATATAGGTATCATTCGTTGACACTTCTAAAATCTTGAATGAATTTTTACTTCAAAAGTGCTTCAGCTGCTAGAATAGTGTGTTTATAACAGAATAGTTATTTCTGTATCATATTATCATTAATTTATAATTTATAATACATTGCATAAATATGCAGCTTGTTATAAAAAAACCTTGTCCGATACAACGGCGGTACACCGCCAATGATAACGCTAAATAATTATGAATTCACACATTAAAAGTTAATAAATATGTTAATGATGTTTAGATTTAATTATTTTGTACCGAAAATATTTATATTTAACCATCATAAATTGAATTCACATATTAACTGTCCATAGTTTTTTTATGTTTACGTAGTATTATGAATCAGTTTCTTGTAAGTAATAATAAATGTTAGGTATTCATAATGTCCAGAGCTGCGGGTTACCACGGCTTCGATTCAAAGGAGGAGTAGGAACGGTTTTTAGTCAATAAGAGTTTTACACTCACTTTTGCCTTACCCAAGGAGGGATAAGTTGGATTGTATGATTTTCCCCTGAAAAAGGTTTTTTTTATTGCATAAGCCGGTAAACGAGCAGACGGATCACCTGATGGTAAGCAATCGGCGTCGCGCATGGACACCTAAAACACCAGAGGCCTTACAAGTGCGTTACTGGCCTTTTAGGGGATTAGGAGTTTGAGGATCGTTGGTGATTTAGGATTGGGGAGATTGGGGAAGGGGAGGGTATCTGGGCCTCCGGTAACCTCACTCACACGACGAAACACAACGCAAGCGTTGCTTCATGTCGGTTTTCTGTGAGGCCGTGGTATCACTCCGGTCGAGCCAGCCCATTCGTGCCGAAGCATGGCTCTCCCACACTTCACACAGGTAATCGTAATTTTAAGTAGTTAATGTAGATAAGGTACGGTAATTAAGGCAAGCCCATCCTGACTTCACCCGGGTCCGGTTTTCTGACATTCCTAGTAAATTTTGTTATTTATTTATTTTATTTCTTCTTTTTAATAAACTTTTCCTAATTATAAACAGAATAAAAAAGGCACAAAAAGCCACATCTAATTTAATCAATTCGGATTTTTTACTTAGTAACATTTTGATTCATTCTTAAGTATTAGTATGTACAAACTTATAGATTTACAGTCTCTTTTTAAACTTCGTTATCCTTGGTTTGCTAGAATCATTAGAGTGTCTAAGGTATCAGGACAATATCAATAATGTACAGTTTTATCACTTGTTCAAGAAGATAACATTTCTATAACCTTATCTATCGGTTGTTTCTAGCTGAAAACTGAAGTGTTTGTGTAAAAATAGTTTTTATTGTTAGCAAAAAATGTCAATAGTGTTGTTCTAGTCTATTTATTCGGTTGTAATCTCAAACTACAGTCACGTTTTATTGAAATACTTGGATCGATCGAGATGCATCCGTGTGACTTCATTGCTTTATACTTAACACAATATAACACAAAAATATTTTTAATAAAAATCTATATAAATTTTACAATTAGTTATTAGTTAGACCAAAACCTACATTTCTCTTCATTCTTTGTCCAATCCATTTTGCTGTGGAATGCGCTGCCCACGGATATCAGGACGGCAACCACCTGGCTAAGTTTTAGAGTTAAGGTTCGTGAACTACTGCGAAGGGAACAGACAGACGCATCATTATTATGTAACACATAATAATGATTATTATGTGTTACATAAATTTAATTATAACATCTCTGCTTCATCCCATGGTTAACTGTTAGAGAATGCCACCCGACATTAAGTCCGCCATCGTATGTTATATACAGAAGTGTAAATAAATAAAAATAAATGAAATAAATTTAATTAAAGTCTTTCAGGATGTGGTCTCTAAATATTTAGTCTTCTAAGCAAGATCCTTATGTGTTCTATATCTTATAGTTATATTTGTGTCTCTCGTTTATTCTCTTTTGGGTTTTACCGAAATGCGTTGGATAATCCATGCGTTGAAGAATCTCCTAAATAAAATTCGATACTCTATTCAAAACATGTTGCGGATTAACATCTTTTTGTCCGTATATATATCTAGATATTCCACCTGAAAATTTCGTTTTATTCTAAAGAAAAGTATCCTTTTTCTCATCTACCTTTGATCCACCAGATTTGAATGCCTTTTAGCATTTGGAGGAACTGAT